AATAGCCCATGCGTGCGAAGGTCATTGAAGGTCGATCTTCCAGTTATCGTGCAGATGATTGTGATTGGTTAATTGCCGGGAAGTCAAATGTGTGGCGAATGTGAGCAGACGTTAGGTGAGGCCTCGGCCACTAACAACGTCTGCGCAGGAGGCTATGTACATATTAGCAATATGTCAGTAAAAATGTCTACGTGTCGCTACAAATATAATACTAAAATGGTTTAAATCAATGCAGCTAAGTGGATACTGATTTTGTGTTAGTGAACACCAAATACAATTGATCAATCGCGATATTTACACCGCTAAGTGCTATATTCTTGACTTGCAACCAACCCCATGAGAATTAGAAGACAATGGCATGGCGGCCATGTTGGTGCCAAATTTAAAAGAAGTTAATGAGATTCCTCTGATGAGATTCTTTTGTTGAAAGGGGACCAACATGGCCGTCGCCTACATCATTGCAAGTCAAGAATATACAGGGTGTCCCGACAAAAATGCAAAGCTGTGTTCTAGATGTTTACACAGCTAATTATTAATGTGTGTCGAAAATTTAATCTAATAGATGAACTTTGACACTAAGATTAATAAAATTGGTCTAGTACAGTAGTAGAAGGAATGTTATGACTGTTTCAAAATAAAGTCCGGTTCACCCAATGGATCAATAGGTTTGATGACCCCTTATTTAATAAGCCATATAACATTGCATGGTTCTACTAGACCAATTTTAATAATCGTAGTGTCAAAATTCATCTGTTAGATTAAATTTTCAATCCTGGTCAAAACTATCTGCGGCACTCTATTAAAACATTCCTCTGTGGCTTTTTTTTACAATTAGACCGGGATAATTTTTTCGTTGTTCACGAATGGAAGTAGAAATGGATTGTGTGTTTGTATTAAAACGAAAAAACGTTCAGATGATCTTTTGCAACCTTTTATAATTTCTTGGTTTATAAAATATGTTGCGACGACGCCCGAGAGTTTCAATGTTTCAGGGGAACATTGAGATTTCAGGGAAAACAAAACAAACGATTTCCCAAGGTTATAAAGTGACGAAGAAAAAATAAACAATATTCACAAAACAATTATATTTCATGAATAAAAAACTCTTTAAGATAAATGAACTTAACCATAAAAGAACCTGCTGAAAAGCGTTTCAGCAGCATTTCCTGTTGCCCAAGCATGGACTTATACACGGAGGGGCCTATATTCGGAGGGCCTTATATTCGCAATGGCCTGAGCGTTAGTGAATATGGTGGGCTTATACACGGAAGGGGGGGGAGGCATATACTTAGTGGGCTTATATTCTGAGGTTTACGGTGGGTGAAATACTGAAATAGTCTGAAATGACATAAATTTGCCGAATATTTTCTATCACGAATGTTTATTATTTAAATTAATCTCGTATGAAATATTCAATATTTGGAATAACGTTGGAAAGTTTCCAAGCTTTTTAAAATATTGATCTAATTATAAGTGGCATATGGCCTGCACTCGGAAACTGCTACCTATTCGGTAATCAAGCAAATGTTTTGTAAAACTTGTTGTTAAAGTCATCCAATGTCAAGTATATTTGTTCATGATCTCCCGTTATAGTGAATGTTACGTCAGAACTAAATGTCTGTAATCTATATAAAACACTACGAACAAGCAGTAAGTTTGTAAACCCGTTCTACTTTGGAACAGTGCACAATAAGTGCTGAAGATATAGCAATCTCGGGGAGCCAGAAAATTGAATGAAAATGCTGCCAAACGTTTTACTGTTGTTTTCTGCAATCTGCATCATAGGATCTTCAGGTAAGATTGTTGTACACTTCACATGCTACTAAGACTGTGAATATGCATGTCTTAAACATGTTCCCGATGTGGTATTACATTGTTACAAATATTTCTATAGATTTTACTTGAGGTCTCGAGCATTAGTAATGAAACACACGGTCTGCATCTAGACACTTTTACTTTAAAGAAGAATTTGCGGGGGTTTTTAATACAAGCTAATATTAATGGAACAATTGCTCTCCTGCCAGCTAACTGAGCTAAGAATTAAGAATATACACAGACAGCTATTGTGTGGGAGAATGGGTTATGGGGGTGAAGTACTCGTGTTACAATAAGTGTCACATTATATGTATATTTAACCCAATAGACTCTTTATGGCCTTATATTTCATCCTGCGGGGTATATATAAGGCCCGCTCTGATAACCCTAGGGGTAATGGTCCCTAGGGCTGCCCTGGGGGTAAGGGTCCCCAGAGCTGCTCTGGGGGTAAGGGTCCCCAGAGCACATGCCAGAAGGGTAGCGACCCCCTCTGACCTTATTAACCTGAACCAAGGGGTAAGGGTCCCTTGGACAGTTCCTATAACTCGGCCGATTATATTTACATTGAATGAGTCTATGGGCATGAAGGTGACCTTTGGGAGCACTTCAACCCCACAAATACAATAAAGTGTATCTGACACTTGAGTGTATTCCCCATAGACGAACAATCCCACTCCCACAACAGCTGTATTCATATAAAGGACAGCTTTTGCCAGATGATAGTAAGGCTTGTGCATGTTTGAGTTTAGTAAATTGACCCTTACTAAAAGGTATTGAACAATCAAACTCTCGACGAAGCAAATTCGGTTTTATAAAATTATATTATTGAAAATCACTCACAGTTGTATACGCGGTCTAGTCTCTCTCACAGTCACACAGTCACTCAGTCACTACATTCCTATCTTTTAACTCCTCTTCATAATCATATAAATGTGTCAATCATGCAATGTTCGTCCCTAATTAAAGTAATAATTAATCCTGCTATTAAATCACAAATATTAAGATATATATAGACAGTCTCCGACACACTCCCCCATGCAAGTTAGGAGCTAAATTGTATGTTCCCTAAGGAGACTGCGCTTCTAAACTATCGTGTTCGTGGAAAACAAAACTTGAAAATGAATCTAGTGTTAATATTATATAGTGTTCACATATCTTCTTCTTGATCTTCTGCTATGGCGGTTATTTTTGCTCGTGCATCTGCTGCGGCAGCTCTTTTCGGTACGAACGCTCGGGCTCCGGGGTTCAGTTGGACTCTGCCTTCGTTCGCGTTCCCTTTTGTGTCGCACTGGAGTTCTAGGGGATAGAGATGCTGAACGGGTCTTTCTATCTCGCCATTTTTCGTCCTGAGCTGAACAGCTCGCGTCCGACCATCTGGTCCTGGGAATAACTTCTCCACTATAGCTAGTGGCCATTTCCCTCGATTCTTATCGTCTGTCTTCACGATCACTGCGTCCCCTTCTTTAATTTTATATTTCTGAGTCTTATGGACGAGGCTGTGACGTTCTCTCAGCGCTGTCATGTACTCGCGTCGCCATCTCTTCCACAAGCTATTCTTGCACGTTGTTAGATACTTCGCTCGTTTCCGTAGGTCTTGGTCTTCGATCCGCCATGGTTCACTTTCGGGTAATTCATTAGCTCGTTGAAATAGAAATGTGGAAGGGGTTAGGGTTGGAAGTTCTACGTCATCTTCCACGTAGCTTAGTGGACGTCGATTCACTTGGATTTCTACATCT